AAATCCTTCGCGCGAAGGATTTAATGTAAAGAATATTGGAATAAATTAAGAATATATACGCACCAAGAACTGCGTGGGACTCTTAACTGCCTTTGTCATCTGTTTAATATTTATAATTTAATATATTATATTTTACTATTGTTTTACAATGAAACAATAAATAATATAAAATGTTTCAAATTTCTGCAGAAAATATTTTTGATAAGAAAAGCACTAAAAAGTATTAGATACTTTTTTTTGTCGAAGTAAATCTTTTAATGTCGACTTAATTATTTTTTTTTTAATCTAGGTAATCTAACTATAAGTTTATTCATTTATTTTTCTGATAGAAGATCCTTCCACTCATCTAATTTACAACTCAGTTTAAAAAAAAAAGACTGAATGACCACAGTTTTTTCTTGAAATTAAACGATGTTATGTTAATCACAAGTGTGTGTTAAATATAATTCCAATTATTTTCAAATTAAAAAAATATTGACTAAGTCATGAGTTAAACTTTCAAGTAGTGTTTCATTGGAATATTTTTAAATTCTATTTGTGATTTCAAACTTTTGATTGGTAGTGTAAGTTAACAAACACGCTCTTGAGATCTTGAAAACGTTTTCCTGTTTACAAATGACATTCAAATGATTTATTTTTACATAAATCTATATGCGTGTGATATTTTTATATAAATCGCTTTTTATACACGTCTTGCATATAAAAGTATTAAGGTAAGATTATCGAAAAAATACTTCATGATATTTCATATTCGAATTTTTTATTTCGATACATTCTTGCGAGGAAATGTCTCTCGAAGAATATTTACTTTTCGACGTTTACATTTTAATATTTTTATGAAGACTGATGAAGTTTATGTAAAACAATATGAGGACTCGATTTATGTAAAAAAAAAATATTGAAAATTATTTCCATCTTCGATGATTAATTTTACGATGCATGTTGATTGGGCGATTTTATTTTTATTTTGCGAGTATTTTTGTGCTATATGCCTTACACATTTTTTTTAGTACTATACAAAGACACGTGCCACGGTTTTTCAAAAATATTTTATGGCACATTTACTCGCTACGTGTTATTTGTTTAAATTTACATTGCTCGCTCTCGTTTGTTTACAGTTTATCGCTTGACGTTGGATCGTCAGTGAAGCTGCGCCATACTATACTGATGTATAGTGGAAGACTTTGCGACACGTGCGTTTTCAGCCACATTGCATCACACCCGATGACAAAAGTATCAAAATCTGTTCATTGTTGACTTTACCCTCATTGCAGTTTGAGAGGGATTCCTGGATCGACGCGGGAGTTCTGTGAAAACAGCTGACGAACAATTATTTGTGCTTAATTTGCGCCGTATTTAAATTTGGACTAAGACGTCTTCTTAGACGCGAATGCGTTTGAAGTTGAAGAAACGTTACCTTCGAAGAAATTAGAAATTGTACTTTTGCGCGCGAGCGTAAGGACACCCGAACGCTACGGAGCTAGCATACGAGAGACTGATAACCATTTGAATTTAATCGACAATGATTCAACGATTGAAGAAAACTTAGTTCGATTTATGCTTTAGAGAAAAAAAATATACTGATTTGTCGTAGTGTCGTTGGTATCGTGTAATCGCGACCGCTCGGTACATAAAGCACCGACAACGAGACGAGATAGCTGCCTTAAATTTTCAAGATAAGTGACAGTTTGAATGACGTAAAAACAGGGACGTTTAATCACTATTCTCTCCTACAAGTTGCATTACGCATTTGTACTAGCATATCTATAAAATCTCTTTTGCGAGGTCTCTTAATCAGTCTTTCCGAAATCACGCGGTAGAGACTACCTGTGTAAAAAAACGAGTTTGTTAGAAGCTGTGGTTAAAAAAAATTTTTTAAGTATCTAAGAAATTAAATTTTTACATTTTAGACAAATTGCGAAATTTGTTGATTATATATGTATTATTGTGCGAATAGTACATTAAAAAAAGAGAAACGAATTGTGTCATAAAAAAATAATAAGGAAAAAGAAGTCGAGGAGTTGGCGATCGAAATGATAAATAATCAGCATTGCGTGATTCTTAACACCGGTGAGACCAATAATTATCATCAACCGGTCTCGGCTAAGCCTTCGGTGGTCTCAGTCTCTAGTATCGATTCTGACGTCAGCGACAGAAGGGATGTACGCGAAGAGTTGTATGCCGGTATCTTTAGGAGGCACAGAAAAACTATATTGGTACTAGGCAGTTTTCTCAAAATGCTAAGGGTGAATAGGAACATGAACAATTACGCTAGTATTAAACCCAATGACGAAACAGATGAGTAAATGAAATCATTGCCAAGTCAGTTAAGTAACGGAGAATTTACGCTTTAAAATGTAACTTGAATATAAAGATAGACTTTATCGATACATTTTTCTTTCTTTTTCTTTTATATAAAAAATGCGGCTAGATATTTTTTTAAATGTAACTTATAGTAACACGCGAAATATAAAGAACTTCTGTAAATAAGTAAACTTCTTAATAGAAATTTTTTAAAGTATCAATTAAATCTCTGATAATCTCGGTTCTAAATAGTATAAAGATATTTTGTATAATATTGCTGCAAATATTTATTCATTTATTACTTATTTGATAGACAATTATTCAAGAGTTGTGCTAGATTAAATCCAATTTTAACATTTAAATTAAAAATTTTTATTTTTACATAATTTTAATCTTTTAATTTGTCTTTCTGATATATTATTTTTTTCATTTTTTGGGAATTATTTCTAGGAAAACTTTTTCTTTCTCTATTACTCATTAAATGACAAGATCAATGAAAAAAAACTGCCAATCGAAAGATTTACATAAATAGGAAAGAAATTCTTATATAAATATACATATAATATACTTTTTAACTGTTGCAAAAATGCAGAAAAAAGTTGAAAAAAGTAATTCACTTTGTAATCATATAGATCGATTTGCCAATTGATATATTTTTAAAACTCTGGTCATTGGTTTTAATATTATTCTACAATGGCTAAATATACAATACGTAAACTTTCGGTATATTTTAAAATTTATGTGAATTTTCAGAATTCATTGATCATAAGAAAAAGTCCGATATTGAATAATTCTTTTTTGTTTTGCAGAAATATTTGGACAGATTGCATGCTCTGAGCCGGATATACGCCTTAATTGCTTTAAGATTCGAAACGCACCAAAAGTTTTGGTAAATTCACTATATTTTTCTTCATTTTGCCATGTATTAAACAATTGCATTTTGAAATTTTCTCGTCTTAAATATGCATCGTCTCACATGTCCCATGTCGAAAAACATGATATTTATATCTTATAACGTTATAAAAAGGATGCTCTTTGCGCTTTCGCAATACAATGAGAGAAAATTCTTTCGTAGAATTTAAGAAAAGCTTCTGTTAAAAAAAAGAACCACCATATTGCCAATACAATCCGAAATGACTTATCAAATCGGTCAACACCTTAATGTATACTGAAAATTATTGTCTGTGTTATTGTTGACGAGCTTAATATTTATTAGAGATACATAACTGAGGGCATATGTAACAGTATAAGATTTATATAATACATATGAACTAATACGAATATCAAATGAATGCCTTATCACTTGGAACTTTAACGTATCTTCTATTGTTATTGGTTGATCATCAACATTTGTTAATTCGATTGTTCTTCATTGTCTTATATCTGAACATTTTTGTACGATTTGTGTATCAGATACTGCCATTAGAAGATAAAAGGATAAGGTAGACGCGAATTAATGAAAGCAACTTGAAAAAACAATCGTGCGTTTAACAATTTCCTAAGGCATACTCAAACAACAATTTTTAAATGTGTTTCTATTTAATAAGGCAAACATGTCTCTGTACTTAGCCGAACCACTCGCTGTCGTAAGACTGAAACATGTGCTCTTTTGGAATATTAAACGTGCCATATTATCTTAGAAAAAAATGTTCGAGAGAGGAAAGAGAAAGGGGGAGGGGCAAGAAAAAGAAAAAAAGAGGGGAAAGAGGGAAGGAACTTCTTATGTATTTATGGATTTCTGAATTGTTATAGTTCTGAGCATATACGACGTAGAGTATATCTATGCGTAATGATAATGCAATCGCAATTATATTCCGTACTTAAGTCAAGTACAATCTAATTGAAAAGATTGTTTTGTTTTCGAAATAAAACGGACACAACAGAAATAAAAGTTGGTTGTGGATATTGATCGGAGAATCTGTTGGACATAAAGTTATTTGAGCAATTAAGTACGTATGTGCGTGCGTGTATACGTGTATGTATGTATGTATGTATGTTATGTGCACTGAAAGAATTCTGATATATACATGCGATAATAGTATTAGAAATATTCTATTCGGAACTACCAAGATATACTCGGAATCTGTATCTTATGGTATAGTAGTTCCCACGAATCGAAAAAAAAAGGAAAAAAAAACGTTCGCGTCCCTTACACGCAGCTGCTTGTGACCAATTTTTAAGTAGAATAAAAATTTGTATGTTAGTAGCTTCGTCATATCGTTTGCAATATTCAAATATCGTGCAATGTAAACTTCCACGAGACAAGAAATCTTCATTCAGCGACAAGAGGAGTAGCGAGCTGTATTTTGCATTCGATTGTCAAGATTCTATATAATTTTTGTAACAAGCAACTATGTCCTAAATGCGTTGTTGTATTGGGTGAAGAAACAAATTTGTATTATCACTTTGTATAACGTATCATTAGAACGTATGTGAAACACAATTCAATAAAGTATTCATATTATGTTTAATAAATTCTCGGCATCTCCGTTCTTTTCGCCGTGTTATTACGATCGTGAAGTGTTCACGATTAGTCTTTCCTTGATAAAAAAGATATCTTCTATTTTCAAAAATCTCTATATTTTAAATTTGATATCTTTAGATTTCTAAAATTATACTTTAAATTTCTTCAGATTTTATAAATTTTCTTCGGAAATTATAAAATGAGAAATCTATAGAATAAAATTCACATATATAAAAAATTTTAAATTATATTAATAAAAAAAAATTATATTAATAAAAATTTTAAATTATATTAAATTAGATTAATAAAAAGTTTTAAAATTGTATAGAAATTTTCTGAAAAATTATACGTTCCATGTATTCATTATATGTTAAAATTATAATTATAAATTCCAAGAAAAATTGTCATCAAGATTCTCGATTGGATTATAAAAATCTTACCTTGCTGAACTGTCCCAATACATATTTCAGGATAGTAGGAGGCACGTCATGCAACAGAGATTCGAGAGCCTCGATGTACATGCATTTTTGCAAAACTTGCTTTAATGCTGTGTAACATTTCGCCTTGAGATCATCGGAACTTTTCGGATCGTTGTGCAACTGACAAAATTATAATTGTAAAATCAGGAATGTTAATTAATTAACGATGAAAAAAATTAATCGATCGAATAACTAGATACCTCCAATATCTTGGACAATAAGTTCGTTACTGCAACCATCTTTGCATGTTCGGGTGTGTGTTTGCCAATTTGTCCGATAGCCCAGACGGTCACCGCAAGAATGTGATCTTCCGTTTCCTCTTGCAGTACAACCGCTAATTGCACGATGCCCTGAATAAGGGTGCGTGTTATATAAAGTGCGAAAATCATCCTGCTTACTTGCATTTGATTCGTACTTTGGATCCTATTACAGCCACGGCCAACTGATCGGAATAACCGGCGATGTAACCGAGTGCTATGATCGCTGGCAATCTAGTCGCCGTCTTCGAAATGCTAATTAATTCGAGCAGTGCAGCGATGCCTCCGGTGTTTACTGCAAGCTGCGCCAACTGAAAATTGCGTTATAAATTTAATCAAAAGGCGCGCAACTTCTTTATTTTCCGTGTTTTATACCTCGAACGTGTGTTTGCAGATTTCCCTAGTCAAAATCGCCGCGACTCTGCCAACATTCTCATCCGGATGTGCCATGTGCACCAAAATGTCTGGAAGGATCTCTGCCTCGACCACAGCCTCCGCTAATTCCGCCGAATGTTTAGCTATGCTGCTCAGCGCCAATAACGCTTGACGCTGCAGACGACGTTACAATCACATTCAAGTGCCATATTTCGAAATTGTTTAACATATACACTTGTATCAAACCGCACCTTCGCCTTAGCATCGGGATTGGCCAGAGTTTTCGCGAGGAAGAAGATCGCACCAGCGTCCACCACTGCCTGCGCGAGTTCTTTACTGTGCTTGCTTATGTCGCTGATGGCCGACGCGCCGATTTGTTTAATGTACAATTCGGGCTCTTGCAGGCACAATACGAGAAGAGGTACCGCGCCTGACGGGGACACATGATTAAGTTGCAAAATATCTGATCAATAAACAAGTTTTCCTTTTCATTGCAGAGGAAATGTTAATCAAGATAACTTTACTGGCATCCACCGCCGCTTGGGCCAAATTCTTATTATGTCTGGCGATATATCCTAACGCCCAAGCAGCCGCTTCCTTTACCCCGGGATCGAAATCTTCCAGGCATCTGACTATGGTCTGCAAGCCATCATTGTGTATCACTATTAACGCCAGCTCCGGCGAATGCTTGGCTATCGCGCGCAAGACGAATAGCGCCGCTTTCTTGTAAAATTTCTGCGACAATATATATTTTCTCTTATAAAAACTATAATATAATCTTTAGTAATGTATATTTTCATAATATCCTTTATAGGACGGAAAATCACTATAGCGGCACTAAAACAGTGTTATATTCTGAGAAAATATTGCAATTATAAATTATAACAAGTTTTACTCAAGGAAAAGCGATAAAATTAAAAAAATAGATCCGCTTTCTAAAGAATATACGAAGGGTAGATAAAATGATGTAAACGTCTGGAAAAAATACACTTATTTTATTAATAAAATATTATCCTTGTTGGAATAGTCGTATATACAGTATACGCGCGCGCGCGCGATGCTTGTTAGTCACCAGTGCAATGATGTTATATTATTCTTCTAGCAGAACATCTTTCAATTGTTTAAGAGATATTGAACGAAAAATCTGCTCCTTATTCTGCTTTTCAAAATTGTTCGCAATATAAATTGTTCGATATGTAAATAATGTGATATATATAAAATATACATATAAAATATTCAAATATTCAAATAATCGTAAAATTTTATTTTGCATCACGGCAGAGAATTTAAACTTTATTATTTTCAAACGATTCAAATATCATCGTTGGTCAAAAAGGTAAAGGTGAAATTTTGGAGAACAGAACAATTTTAAAAAACAAAGTGAGAAGTTTTTTTTCTTCAACATCACTTATATAAGCAATTAAAAGGAGTTCCGTTAAAAGAATAGTACAATATTCTTTTGGTGACTATACAAGAATTATAGGTATAGGATGATAGTTAAGTACTCTAAAAGATTTTAGAAAGAATGAAGTTCCTTTCTAAAGGATGTATGGATTCATCCTTACAC